TCCTTGGTTGGAGAGAGGCTAAGGGACATCACCCTGACCGAGGCATTAGGTAGGCAGTCAGCAGCAGTTCTTCTCTGCTGCTCTCTGGCAGAAGCTGCAACCATCAAGGCACTGAGTGTCTGGACTCGGTCTGGCTTTTGGATTCTGCCCCAGTGGTGTAAAGGGGAGATGGTAGGTCTTGGGCAGCCTCCACTCCTCCATACTCTTGTCTAGGTGTACACATCAAAGATCTTGGTGACCAGACCTCTTAAGTGTAAACTATGATCCAGAGGATCGACGGCCACCTGCTAGTTTGACTTTTGCCAAACAGGCTGTTCATGAACACACCCCGAAAAATAAGACATTCAAAGTCCAAAAATAATTACTTTTTCTCATAATATTGACGAGAAGTAGAAAAATAAATAAATCGTAGTTTACTGGTCTAACCTTGTTCTAAGCACACAGGCTCATATATTACATTTTAATTTTAAGAACATTTAGACCTTTAAATTAATGTCAGCATGCTCTTGAAAACCTCATTTAGACTCAATGCCAGTTCCAGAAACAGCATTAGGAAGTAAAGGGGCCTTTCTAGTTCTGGTTTACAACAAAAAAAAAAAACTGGGAGCAAACAATCTTGTCTCTTATGTTTTGAGAAAAAAGATGGGAAGGGAGGAGTCTGAACACTACTCAAACTGTATGGGACACCTTCTGTTCACAATCACACAGTGAAACGTCTACCAACTCCAAGACAACTGGAGCCCAGGCTTCTCAGACAGAATTCTCCCAAGCCTGAGTTTAAAGAAGTGGATCTACAGGAACAAAAATGGCATTACATTTGTTCTTTGGGCATTCGCAGCAGGTGAGGGTGAAAAATATTGCTGAGGTTGGAATTGAATGAAAAATGTGGATAATATTTACCCACCAACAAGACAGGCACATCTTACATTGCAGAGGCTTTCATTTGACCATTTTGTCTAGTGTACAGGGATGCAGAAGGGCAGCAAGTCTATCACTGCCCTGCTTCTCACTAAAACTATAGATTTTAAATCTGTTGGTTAAAAGCAATTAAACTAATTGTTCCAGCTATTTTTTTTCCGTAGTTGATGAAATGTAGATATTCCGTCTTTAGCCATGATAGTTGTGAGAGCTCACAGGTCAGATCTGTCCCAACAAACATTGTTAGAAAGAATCTAACCTTTGGAGTATGTGATGTGCAAGCACTAAGAGTGGAACCTCTTGAAGAAAACTATTAGGTGTGCCAGTGTGAAAGAGCAGCAAGGTTATGGAGGGTATTTTTCTTCTGTCTTGTGGTCCTCCTTTGAGACTAAGGAGACCTGTGTGAAAGAGAGGAGGTACTCAGGTCTCCTCTATTTACAACCTTCCCTGTGACATAAGTGCTGAGCGTGATTTGTGTTGAAAGAGCTTTGGCTCATTCAGAACTGATAAGCCAACCAATATTAATGGGGAGAAGGCATGCGACTGCAAAGCATCCTAAGACTTGCATCTAGAGGGAGGTACCAACTAACCCCTCCTACAGTTCACAGACAGTGGAGGATTCAGAAGTGTACAGGTTTCTGAGATGTAGAGTGGATCCTCCTCACATGGTATGTCAGCAGAGATCCACTTACCTGCATCTGTTTACAATCTTTCAATAGGCAAGAATGGTTCACCTATTTTCTGGATTAAAACTGGTGGCACATTTCACTCACCAGTCCATGAGCAAGATCCCGCTGTGTGGGGTGGTACAGCCAGGGTCTAATCCTGCTCACGTTTTGCAGCACACTTCCACTGTTCTTGAGACGTGCTAGTGTGCTAGTGTGCAACGCTGCATCCATTGGGAATCACTAGTTTACAAGATACCCAACTTTTTCAGTATGGAAGCTCATGATACTTGGCACATTAACTCCATTATCATACAACAACCCGACTGACAAATCTGGAACTCAAACCCCTTTACTTATCCATAACAAACAGTGGTAATTTTTGGTGACCAAAAAAAAAAAAATGAAAATGTTTTTAGTCCCAGTCACAACAAGCTTGTACCAACTCCAACCTAATTTACAGTCAGACAGAAAATTCCCATTTAGACAAATACCACACTAATAGGAAATAAATTTCCTCACTCTTAAATATAAAAGCTACAACAGATGGAATGGCAAAAAATGTTCATTTATCCACAACTCTATTTGACTTGCATGTTAAAAATCTGCCCCTGAGTTTGTACAAATACATGGCATGCATCTGAGATGGGAGTGGGAGCTTAGTGATGGCATGGCATCAGTTAGTTTTTGAGTCCATCCACTTTGCAAGGTTCAACACTGCTAAGAAGCCCTGCTTGAACTCTCTTTTCTTTTCTGCATAGATCTTAACTTGGAAAAAAAAAACCAAAAACCATCTACATGGCCCAGCACACAAAGCAGAAAATGCAACCTGAGCCAGCACATTCAGTCTGGAACAGTGTTTTATTTTGATTCCAAACCACACATAGCTGAACAGTTAACAAATGCAATTAAGGGATTTTGGTACACAACAGTCACAACAAATCCAAATCCTTTGTTGTTCCTCTCTGCTTTCCTTTCCCCTGAAAAAGCTGCTTGTTTGATTAAATAGATAAATCAAAAAAAGTGGGTATGGTATAGGATTAGCTTACAACCTTTCACAAAATGTCTGGGGAGCTGAGGGATAAGGATTTTTTGCAGGTGATATCTCTTATTGGACCAACTGCATGGTTGGTGGGGCTGAGTACATTTTACTGTATATGGACTGGAAGCCTGTGATTAAATTTTCTTTTAGGAGAAGTAGGGGCCTCAAATAGGTTTTCTGACTTAGTTACTGGAAAGAGTATTTTTGTCTTTAGGAGAGATGATGGGTCACAACATTTCATAGGCCAGCTAATGTTATACGCAAGTTCTGAATGTTGCGCAGGGTGTTCTGAACACTGCATGCAGAACTTTGCTCGGTGGACACAGCAAACAAAACTTAGTCCAAATTTAATGACCCATGTAGTTGGGATAAAGATAGGCAAGCTTTCAAATGCAAGTCATTCTTTGTTAGACCTGATCAAGTATGTCTTGCATTCAAAAGCTTGTCTAACTTTATCCCAGCTACATAGCTGACCCAATAAAATATATTACCCTAAGAAATCCTTGCCTCTTGCATAATTTCTGGGCCATCGTGGCTATAACTTGAAAGACATCTTCCAGTTCAATTCAAATGTCCTAACTTGTGCTTAGTCTGTTAATTGCTAAAGGTAATAGGCTAATGGGCCTACATGGCTACATGCCCTCTCCCTCCTTGCTTGCTGGCTAGTTTCTCAACATCAAGAGACATAATTACTGGCAATATTGCCAACAGGGTGGAAATTCATGAACAGAAACATACTTCAACAGTGCACTGAAATAGATAAGCACATGGACATCTCCAACACTTTTTAATAAAGTGTGAAGGAACATTTACTCTGTTTCCATGTGCCCTAACCTTCTGCCTGCCTGAGACACAGCATGATGATTTTTCTGACGTAATGCAGGTGGATTTTTTTAAATCCTTCTTTACTTACCTGAACTATGATCCCTGACCTTTTAATTCTACAAATAAAATAAAAGGCCCAAGTCCATGTGGCTACGTACAAGCAGCTCCCATTATCTCCCCAAGCCAGAATTATATTCATTTAGTCATTTACTCAGATTGACTTTTACATTTGATGAAGGAAGTTGAATAAGGGGCCCTGTTATACCAAAATCTATCACTACTGACAAAAAATAGGCTAACTGAATCCTGTGAGTCATAACATGCATTTCAAACTTGTACTACTCATCTGTGGTTCAAACTGCTGGTGCATCCTATTTTCACAACAAAGTATGTGTAGGTCTGCATTCTTCTGAGTTTCCTGCACCTCACTCGCACTTCATCAAGCTTATTGTTCCTAATTGAAACAGAGATGGCAAACGCCTCGGGATTCGAGTGTGGCATAATAAAATGCAGGAAATGGAAAAGCCAAATGGAAAGACTACAGAATCCCTTCAGGGGCAGCGAGGGAGGAAGAAAGGGAGAAACCCCCCTCTCCAACCTGAGAAATAAATATACGTAGGATTTGGTTTTTTACTCCTCTGTTATGCAATATGATGCAGACAACAGTCATTCCACAGCTCATCTTTATCACCTAAGAAATGAATGCCATTCAACTACAATAATTAAGATCCTAATTCCCTTCAATCCTGCTTTCTGGAAACTGCCCAGCCTCCTTCCTCCCTGATCATTCATTTTAATAATTATGATATAAATAATAACACATATTTATTTCAAACATACATAACATTATTCAACTTTACTTCTGGTGGCCAGACACTAGTCAAAGTAAGGCATACTAGATCCCCAAAGATGTAAAAACACACGCACAAATCTGTACGAGAGAGCGTGTACAGATGCACTGTCACAAGCTTGTGTAATTTATGGGGTATGTTATTTCCACGTACAAACTTATATACATATGATCTATCTGCAGTATAGAAAACATGCATACACACACACACACACTCACAAATGTCATACTAGCACATCCTTAATAAAAATTGTTTTTTCAAGAGCATTAGAAGAGATCTTCAGAACTCTTTAACCACTTTGAAAGACCTGCTTTCTATGTGATCTTTTAATGGAAAATGGGGAACCCCCCCCAAAAACCACATTTGCAGTCCCTCTCTGCTTCAGGCTACCAAGATGAGTTATTAAATTTAATTTCTTAAAATTTCATAACCTATTTTAATATGCTGCAATGATAATGTCTTATTGTACATTATAGTTTCCCTGCACCAGTCTTACTAGCAAATAAGGTCATGTTAGTGACTGCAAACACAAGATATTAAGGAGGAGGAAATGGAATAAAATGGGAGCATGAGACTAATACTACTATGCAGTCAATTTTGTACAATTACCATTCCTTTGGGTTAGGAACAGAAACTGGAAGGTTTTGCATTAGGGTGTGCAGACACATTATCAGTTAGAAATGTAAAACATTTACTGACCTTGGTCCACTAAGCGTTGCGGTATCTCTCACTGCCTGGGCTGTTTCTGAAGCAAAATCCAGAGCTCCAGCCACTGGCTTGGTTACTGTGCCAACCAAGCCTTTACCAAGGCCTGACATAAAACCACTAACTCCCCCTTCGGTTTTCACACCTTCCACTGTTGAAGTTATTACACTTGTCAATCCACCAATGATACCTAAGTGAAGACAACAAAAACTAGAGTTGGTCCAGCACCACCTGATCACGTGAACAATTTAACCTCACAACATTTTTATACGATTTAGGATAGGAACTGGAGAACACCAGGTTCACTTGGCAATTGTTAGGATGAATGTAAGGAGACAAAATACAAAAGCACGAACTGGAATTTTAATACTGATACCGGGGAGGTGCGCCTTGCTCTTACAAAACTTTAATGGTAATGAGAATCTGAGGGCGGCAAAAAGTTTGGAACATACTGAAAATTCAATATAGTGGATGGCAATAAGTACAGTGTAACAATATGCTCCATAAACTGCATCTCTCAGCCAAAGCAGAGCATTCTCCAGCATCATAAAGCTTTCTGGCCCACTGCCCAACAAACTGATTTACCGAGATGACTGCCAGCTCTGGATTCTCTAACTCTGTAGCAACTGACTGCACTTTTGACTTGTCCACTTTCAAAATACTGGCCAAGCAGCATCCAGATGCATTTAGGAGTTGGGAAGCAGACAGCATTAAGCATTTAAATTACTTCATTTGAGCAACTATGACAGAATGCAAAAAAGCTGGGAAAATTCCTATATTTCACCAGACAGAATCTAATAGTTAATTGCTTCTTTGAAGAAATGGAAAGAGGAAGCATTAAAAGGAAACAGATTTAAAAACAAAAGACATAATACTGCTAATTAACTGATAAAATAGCACGATGAAATGTTTCTAATTGACTTCATTAGGCATGAACATATTTCAGATTTCAGATGTTCCTAGCAACGTAATTTATACCAGATTTTAGAACGTATAAATTCTGAAGCTGGGAATAACCAAAGAACTTTAAAGAGATATCTAATATGATCCATTTAAAACAGAGCTGCCCAACTTCCAAGCAGTCAGGAGCCACATGCCCTGGCAGTTGCACAAGGGCGAGCCATAGCTCCCCCTGGGCCACACACCCCATGGAGGTCCCTCTACTGCTGCAGCATGTGCTTGTCCCAGTGCATGCCTGTGATCCTCTCCCCATCCTGTCCTGACTGCACCACATGGTTGCGCAGGCAATCCCCTCCCTACCCCTGCTGCACCATGCAGCCCAGGCTCACCCTCAGCTCCCTGCACTGTCCAAATGCCCCATCAGCAGGGTCGGAAAAGCTGAAGCAATACGGAGAATGGCAGCTGGGCAGCAGCCCAGGGGATGTATATTAACCCCTCCCCTAAGTTAAACAGCCCTGCTTTCAAATGTCAGTGTAATCCTTTTACTGACCATATTCACTATTGCGAAGATTATTTCAGTGTCATTTTTATTATTTAGAATTAAATCTCACTCTGTGCAGAAAACACTTGAGACAGTTAACAAATGCCCTGTAATTTTCTGTTTGTAAACGTACACAAGTTTTTGAAAATCAGAAAAGGAACACTCATGTTTATGACCGAAATTTTGACTACGCTCAAATTTGCAACAGCTTAATTACAGATGCGACTTTAGACAAATGGAACCAAACTGATGCAAAGCAACATAAATACTCAACAAATTTAAACTTGGTTGGTATTGGTTCGGTTTAATTCAGTAGAGAATTTATTTAATTTAAAGCTAAACTGATGTAAGACTTCAATCAAATTAAGTGTCCATGTTGTCTTTTGCAATTGGTTTTTGGGTCTATTAAAAGTTTAAGTAGAGCAAGTCTACAGGCTTAATTCTGCAAGGAAAATAAGGTCTGTGGGACTTGAAGGTAAGCAGCAACAGCTTACATCAAAACCATTCATTTTTTTTTACCACTAGCTGAAAATGTTATTACATTGTTGGTACAGACCAATAGTATGTAAGGATGTTTATGAATCTACATGGACACTGAAGTTTTGGCTGATATTCTTCCTTAATTTTAGTGCTGGTGTACAAAAGCAAACTTAAAATTAAAATCCCAATCACACTAAAAGGAAAACCAGCAATTTCTCCATTCCCTCAAGCTACAAATAAGTGACTAGATGAGTAGTTCGCACAGTACCGCATTGTCTTTCTGAATACCGTTGCGTTGTGATGACAGTAAACAACGTAGCTGAAATCGCAATACTCTGCTCTATATATTCATAACTTACCATGAGCAAGTCCCTGTATTCCAGCCACAAGATGTTCTCCGCTAGTTGCAGCATGGTATCGAATGTACTCTCGTTCAGTTTGATGTCTGTTATCCATTGTTTTTCCCAACCCATCCGATAAAGTCCCAGCAAACTAGAAAGCGGGGGGGAGGAAGGAAGCTTTTTTAAGATACAATTTCTATTGAAAAACATGTTGTGCTTATACTATTTTCAATTTTACTGCCTTAAATTCAGTAGTTATTAGCTAAAGTTCAAAACTTGATCAGTTCCTGCTTTCTTACATGGCAGCATGGAAAGAGTCGTCTTTGTTTGAAGGAGTGCCTTGATTACCATAGTTTATATTCATCACGGCTTTTCTCCCATTAGTGCCTTCCCAAAGACTTCTACACTTGCATTCTCACTATCATCTGTGTAGACATAGCTGTAGCTTTCACCTGTTCTCTTACTGAAATTAATATCAAAGCTTTATTCGCTTCAACAAGAGCAAAATTACAGTCGCTGCACTTACAACTGGATCACTACTTCAAATATTACCAATAAGAAAACACCTTTTGATTAAGGAAACTTGAACTTACAATATTGATGTATTAGAGTAGATTTTTATACACAAAAGGAAATGGTTACTTTTTGGTGCTTAGTTAGTAACCAATCATTCTGACCTGCATTTATCAGAAGAGCTCAGCTCTTATAAGGTTGGATTTTTGACTGGGTACAGAGTTCTTCAAGGGAGGTGGGAGGAAACCAGCCATAACTATCGTGATGGGAGCTATGAAACTTTTAAAAATACAGTTCTTATTTAGATGACTAAAGCTGAGCAACACCTTCTTGAAAACCTAACTCCATTTGTAGGTGCCGTCTGGCCTTGAGCTTCTTTGAAAATGCAATCTTTTATTTGGGATTATAATGTGTCCTGACACTGAAGCAGTTAACAAAATATAATGTGTCAACATTTGCATAATATATAACTTGTACATTATGTAGCACGGATGATATCTTACTGGACCAACTCTCTGGTTGGGAGAGATTTAGACAAATTTTCAGGTGCTTGTTTTTTTCTCGGACCAAAGAATGGTGCCTTGTACCCCAAAACCTGTCCCACTCTCACCTGACAATGCAGCTGATCTAATAAATGATACCACCCACAAAAACCCTCATCTCTTGCATATTCCCTGGACCATTATGGCTACCAACAGCACTCTAACACTACTACAATATGCAACTATTTTTTAAAATGTTCCTCAATTGAAGAAAAAAAAAAAAATCAGTAATCTTTTCAAGTAGGCAATAAAATTATTTCGTCCACTTATTTCAACCAAAAGTAGTAAATGAAGTCTGTTTTATATATATATCAAACTGAACAGCTTAATATATTAAGCAAATTCCTTGTGTTGACTGTGTTTTGATCGACAGTACATGGTTGGAATGTATTCTGGAAACACAAAGTTACTGTTTCTTGACAAATCGTGACCTGATCTCTGAACAAGCCCTCTCACCATAAATGCTTTATCATCAGATAAGGACTAAGAATTAACATTTAACCTGTGTTTTGTTGTTATGCAAGTTGAAAGTGTTCTGGGGTGCTGGTTAATAGGAAGCCACATACATGCCTGACCAAAATAAATGCAAGGTACTAATATAATTAACTTTCCTGTGCAAAATCCATCAAAATAAATAGCTAAGTGCCAATGACCTAAGTGTAACCTTTCAAAAAACTCACAAGAATGTTATTTAGACACAAAGCTATCCTTCCACAGAGATATGCGAAAAGCTTTAAGGCAAATAAGCCTGTCACAAGACTCAGAAATATGTCTGTACTGTTGTACTTTACATTTTGTAGCGAGTTAAGAGGTTGTATCTCAAAACATTGCAGCAATATAACTTGAAAGTGGCTCTATTTTGAAAAACGGCTGTTGGTGAAGCAGTGTCATGTTTATGGTAACATGTGGGATGATCCACTGGCAGATGGCTGTACTGACGGGATCCATATGCACTGCAGCACAGAAGAAAGATGTGAACTCATCCAAGGGAAATCTTAATCAACATCTGAGCAACGCTACTGCAACGTTTTTGCTGTTGGGTCAAATAAAGACCGCTTATAACGTAAGTGAAGGATTAAGACATTTACAAGTAAAAAAACTTGCATTAAGCCACTCGGGTTCAAGCAGGAGTTACGAGAACACTGAAAATGACTCAATTCAGTTATCATAAAATAAAGGCTTTTCCCTGCGGCCCACAGGGGACAGGGCAAGGAGAAATGGTCTTAAATTGCAATCATGGAAATTTAGGTTGGATTTTAGGAAGAACTTCCTCACTATGAGGGTGGTTAAGCACTGGAAGAGGCTACCCAGAGATGCATATTTTTAAGAGCTAGTGAGATGCACCTGACTGGGATGGTTTAGTAGAGTCATCCACCCTGGCAATCTTCAAAAAGCATCTTGACGCCCATCTTGCTGGGGTCTTTCCTGCCCAAGTGCGGTGGGGCTGGACCCAGTGATCTCTAAGGTCCCTTCCAGCCCCTGACAACTATGAATCTATGCTACCTTAAGCCAGGAACTGGACTAGATGATCTTCCGAGGTCTCTTCCAACACTACTATTCTGTGATTTGATCACCACCAGCTAAAGAAAAGGGGATTTCTCTTTTAGTGCTCTATTAATTTTTAGCCACTTTCATACAATTACATAATGTTAAACTGAACAGGGGGGTGGGGGAGAAAGGTCCTAAAACCCTACCTCTAATTGAGAATCGATACTGGTAGTGAAAAGGATGGCTGGTAGGATTTTCCTATGTTACTGCAGAAGACAATATTATCTGGAACCAAAAAATAATCCAATCTTTATCATCGGCATCTCTCTCTGATAGTTTTGACATGCTCATGCTCTACCTTCTCCTAACAGGCAGCTACTACTTCAATAGATAAGATGGTCTTTCTGGTCATTTCTGGTATTCGTTGAGGTAGAAACCAGGAAGTGCTGAGAGTAAATATTGAAAAGCATACCAGAAAAATCTAGGCGTTCAGAAAATAAACCAATAACCTTCCCTGCTCACACTGTCACTATTTCCTAATTCATCATCTTTTCAAATGGCTGCTCAGTAATTGCTGAGGGAAACGTCACAGAAACGTGCCTTGCTAGGGAGAGACAAAAGGTCCTAAAATTTTTTCTTTAATAGTTTAAATTTGTCAGTCCTGTACGTGACATGAATGGTACTTTGACAGCATAATAGGACTCTAGCTTCGAACTCCCTCCTTGATGGTCCTTTCACCAGCATTTATTTAATGGAAATTGTCTTCGATATTTTTCCTTTATGTTATAACTCAGATAAATTGCACCTTGCTACATCCTAAGACACAGAAAACTGATGTCGAGCAGAAGTGTACACCAATTAGAAACTGCGGTCTTACATAATCATTCATTTGTCAAACCAGGGCCCAATCCTGCAACTCTTTACAACTAGCCTCATCCTTACAAGAATGAACTCGGTGGTATAAATTTATGTTAAAGCCTTCACGATTGAACCCTTGCACCACTGCAAATTGAGATGCAAACAAAATCCTTATCTAGATTAACGTTTTCATCCTGTAACAAGACCATTTATTATAGCAGGGTTTTTCAGTGGAATGTGGTCTATGATAAAAAGGAAATCTTGCCTGTTCAGCAGAGGAGGGAAAGTATGGTAATACTAAAATCATATGCTGATCACACAAAAATATATAGTTGAAAAAAGGCTTTTTTTTTTTTTTCTTCTTAAAGAAGGCATTTCCTTTAAGTGTTCTGGTCAGCAATCACACACCACCGGTAATAAATTCCACATTTTTTTCTCTCCTACCCTGGTAGTTAAGTTGTGGGTATCCTTCGATTCAATATAAAAAGTGATCAAAGATTATGTCATTACTTTGTAACTTTTGGTTTAAGGACAGCTGGAACGTGGCCTGAGGTCCTGGTTGTAACAAATTTTGTACAAAAAGAAAAAATAGCTATACTGTGTGCTGATGAAATGATCAATTTTCCCTTCCTTCCATCTGAACTGCTTCTAGAAGCTGTTCGGGTTGTTGCCAGCTACATCACTACTGGGCTCAGCTGCCCCTTTCCTGCTTAGAAATGCAAACTATTCAAAGCAGCTCCCATTATCTGAGCAAAGAGGTTTTAACCATATGAATAAAAATGAAATCCCATGACTGGTCTTGTGACTTAACCACGCTGACACAAAACAGAAAAACGAGCATTGGCTGAATGACTTCTGACCCCTTTCTGAACTTAATATAATTATTTTAATTAGCCACATACAAATTCAGCGGAAACTGTTCCATAATTTGTTCCCTCTAAAGTGTAATCGTTTGGTTTAAAGGGATTAGAAGAGTTGACATAAAGGTTAAAGGCTCGCACACAAAGTGTGTACGTAGGTGGGAGAAGGATTTTCTGGAATTCTGCCTACACTAAAAACTGTCAGGCTTCGATACAGTTTTCAAGTACTGATCTTGAAGATCACATCAGTGCGGTTATGTGTGGTGTGGTGCCAGCCAATTACAACTGGGCAATTAGTATTATCATCATTATTATTATCGTTACTATTAATGATTAAGCTTTCACAACAGCTCTCTGAGGATTTGTGCCCTGCTCGGCCAGCAGAAGCACATCTTTTTTTTTTTGTGTATAAATAGGGATCGGTTGTTCTTTCTTCAGTTTTTGCTCCTTCCATGGAAGAGAGAATAACATCCGCATTAGTCAATAGCAAGTCCTGCTTTAATGTTTAGATATGAGAACTATCTTCCTAGCAAAGCTGTAAGAAGAAAAAAAATTAGAAGTGCACAGGTTAAAAGTTCATCTTGTCATCACATGGCAATTTAAATGCTCTCTCCATGAAGATACAAGAGAAACAAGGTTAAATAGGGACAGTTCTGTTTGTGTGCTGTTGAAAATAGCACCAAGTTCCAACTTTATAAAGAATTTAGGGATTTTAATGAACTGAGAAATCGAATGTTTCCCTGTTGTCTTGCCTCTGGAGACACCATCCAAACTCTTAACAAAATTTTAACTGAAAAACACTAAGTTTTGTATTGAACCCTTTTGGGGAAGGGGAAAAAAGCAGAGAACTGCTTCTTTACATTGTATTCCATTTAAGTACATGGCCTTGG